CTAGAAGGACAAAGTCTATGGTACGCTTAAAGTATATAGAAAAATCGGTTTCAAATAAACTTCTTGATAAAGAAGATGAGCAAATTATCAGAATGATCATAATAAAGGAGGCAAGTGATTTAGAAGATCACATGAGAGATTCAGGTACCTACATATATGAATGAAGAGATATTTATGTTATGTCTTTTTTGAAAAATAAGGAGGTTGGAACCGATATAAAATATTCATCGACGTCATCTATGATAGCGCTAAGTATAGATGGGGATCTTAAGTCTGTCGAATACAGACACAAAAATATTGGCCAAATGAAAGTGAAATTCGAATAGAATTTGTTTCATATGAAAGACATATAATTTTGGACCTGCACTTCAAACACATGAAAGTATAAAGTCAATAATGTGTGCAATCACTTTTATCTATCTTATATGTCTAGCATGACATGAAAACATGATATGCTCCTAAAGTCTATTAATATGGCTTATATGACTTAATTTATATGACAATCCCTAGAGGATGTAAGTGGCTTAAAGCATATACTATTTTTGGTCATGAAGTACCACATCCTTAGTGCAATTTGTGCACATATGTATCTTGCTATAACTATAAGCATGATAATGTGATAGCGATAATACCTCTATGGAGATATTGAAAAGGTTATTCCACGACATTATATGAAGAGATTACATATATACAAGAATGGTGATTTCAAGGTGCAACATATTCATTCAAGTGATAATATGACTGATTTGTTCACCAAATCTCTACCGATGTCAACCTTCAAGAAGCTAGTATACAAGCTTGGGATGCGAAGGCTCAAGGATATGAATTGANTAAGTAATAATATGACTGATTTGTTCACCAAATCTCTACCGATGTCAACCTTCAAGAAGCTAATGTACAAGATTGGGATGCGAATGCTCAAAGATATGAATTGATGCTCTTCATCAGGGAAGTTAATATGCGTTGTACTCTTTTTCCCTTACAAGATTTTGTCCCACTGAATTTTCCTTGCAAGGTTTTTAATAAGGCAATCAAAAAGCGTATTTCTAAACATGTGTACTCCTTTTCCTTCTCTAGAATTTTTTTCCCATTGAGTTTTATTTTAGTTAAGGTTTTAACGAGGCACATTATCTGTTGGATATATATTCAAGGGGAAGTGTTATAAATAGAATTCTATTTAAGGTGAATATCTATATTTTAGAGAGATCTTAGGGTTTGTTACTGGTGGCTAAGTCATTTTTCCCCTATTAATAGAGGGGTTAGAATTCTCTTCTCTCTACTTTTCTCTGCAAGACATTTCTTCTTCTATTGTTTTATAACAGTAGACATGATTATCTACTATTTGAATTAAATCATTCCTTATTAGAACAATATACGAACTCCAATATCTAGGTACTTAGATTATATTGCAAAAATATCTAATTAAATTTAAATTTAGATAAAGTAATATTAATTAAGATTTGAAAGGGTGGGAAGGAGTTTCCACGTTTTAAATGCTTGGACGAAATTATAGTTATATTTAAATATTTAAAGTTTGAGCTAATAAGGATTAGAATCAAGAAAAATAAATTTTTGCTTTAAGGTTGAGAACCAATGGTTAGTTCTTCAATTAATTAACTAATTAGTAATTAAAAGTATCCAATTCAGCTTTTTTTTCAAATTTATATAAGTAAAATTATTTTTTAAATTGACAAAACTCTTAGGCTACATAAATTTATTTCTATATAAAAAAAGGCATTGGTAGTGAGATATCAGAAAATAGAGCAAAGTTAGTAATAGTATTAAAAGTCAAATTGATAAAAATACAAATTTAAAACAATAAGGATGAAATATTAGTAGATAAAATTTATTTTAAATGTGAGTTAATATTTATAATTATCTTTTTGTTTCTTTTTACATTCATTTCAACAAATGATAGCTCCTTATATATTTTTGTATATTAAGTTATTTTTGAAAAGATATTAACTCAACAATTATTCTTAGACCTTGCATTATCATTTATCAATTTTTTAGTGAACTATAGGGCCAACCTTTTCATTCTCAAAATCTCTAAGATACCAAAAGATTCAATTATTCAACTTTTTAATTTATTTTATTTAACAAATCTTTGAAGAACCATAAAAGTATTTTTTGATTTATTTGTTTCAGTATTGGGTAATAGAAATGCGAATAATTTTAAAATCACAATAAGACATCTAAAAACTTTGATGGAGCAAGATTTCTTTCATTAAGTTTGCCAAATGAGATCAATATTCATCATTTTAAAGAACACACCCTTCTTCTAATTTTTATTTGATAACTCAAACATATAATGTGATTTTTTAAAACAAAGTATCCATTAATATAAATACACGTGCAAAGCGCGTACTCTAAGACTTGTAGTCTCAAATCTATGATCTACTCAATTCCAATAATAGGAACTAAGAGAAAATGACAAAACTTAGTACACACCACCTTTTTCGCTAAAGTCAATCATATTAAAGTTTATTATATACTAAACAAATGTAATACTTTGAACTAAAGGTGTCAAATGGGTGGGCCAGGATGGACCGGACTGGGTTGAGAAAAAATTGACCAACCGATCACCATCCAGGCCAGTTACCGATTTTTCCAAACCGAGCTTAACGGCTCCGGGCCCATCCGGGTAAAAATTGAACCGGAATGGTTATGGGTCTAAGGGGCTGGGCCGTTTATTTTTTATTTTTATTTTTTGTATTTTATATAACTATCGTAATTTATATTAATATAAAGTAAAAATACAAAACGAAAAAAACAATCTTATAAAAAGAGTGTTTGAATAAAGGATGCAACGAATTTAAAATCCTTATATTGAAATTTCATTACGAATTTAAGATAATACAATGAACATGAAAAAAATATAACTTATAATATAAATCTTATATGGGACACTAGAGCGTCATAATAACTTGATATACAAGGATCAAGCTTCAAAGGCTTTCATAGTTTCATTTTAAATTTTCATTGCATAATAATGCTTCAAATTAATCTAACAAACTAAAACATTAAGCATAAATACGTCTAATAATTTTAAAATAACACAAATTGTCTCAAATCAACTTTAATACGAATTTCTGGAGGACGCTCAAGACAACTCTTCATATGCCTCCTTAAACAGCTTATGCCCACCCACTTTAGACGAAGATTTAAGACTCGACCACAATTCTTGCACTTCACTTTGTGAACTTCTTTATTTTCTCCTATCACCTCAAAGTGTTCCCAAACATATAAACACGCTCTAGAAGTACGGTGCATAATTTAACTTGAATTGAGAAATTGAGTTTGAGAAATGAGAGAGTGAAGAAATGAAAT